GGGACGCGGAATGGAGGCTCCGCGTGCAGCCCCCCTCGTGCGGCCGGCGAGGGGCGCGGGGGGCACCGGGTGGTCCTGGGCGCGGGCAGTCGGAGTCGGGGCGCGCCAACTTTCCGCTGCTGCCCGCGGCCTCCGAAAACATGAAGGTCTGGGCGGGCCGCCGCGGCATGAATCACCGGCGCGCCCTGGTGGGTGACAAGAAGGACCTGTGGGCCCGCCGGGCCCTGGGGCCCGCTGGCTGCGAGGCCGGCACCGCCCGCAGCCGGGCCGACGTGTGTCCTCGCTTCCAAATAACCCGGCCTGCCCTCCCCCTCTCCAGCGAGTCGTCCTCCACCCCGGGCAATGGGGCCACGCCCGAGGAGTGCCCGGCGCTGGCCGACAGCCCCACCACGCTCACCGAGGCCCTGCAGAAGATCCACCCCATCCCCGCTGACTCCTGGAAGAACCTCATCGAGCAAATAGGTGGGTGTCCCCGGCGGCGGGGCTGCGTTGGGGAACGCTGGCAGGGGCCTGGGGGGCCCGGGGGGGCCCCTGCTCGTGGGATGCCGCTGCATTGCGTGCGAGCGAGTGTGTCTGACGCAGGTAGGAACGTTTTTTGACATATTTGGTTCTAAATGGTTCCAGAGGCAAAACTGCCACATGTTAGTAAATGTTGCTGAACAATTGGGCTTTAGCAAGTGGATAGCCACCCTACTCTCTCTAGTGGGGACTATTGCCCAGGCCTGCTCTGGAGGAGGGCATCTCGTCCCTCTGGCCACTTCTGCCATGCTGGGCCTTGCAGGAGGTAGGGAGGGGCCTGGGAGCTGGAAGCCAAACTGGGCTGCCGCTTGCAGAGTTGGAGCAAAGAGAGGGGAGTGTGGAGGTGGGGAGAGCAGGGCTGATGGTGCGATTCTGGGGAGAGGAGGTGGCAGGGGACTTTGTACAGGAGAGGGAAGATAGAGGAGAGAGAAAGCCGGAGCCCGCTTCGCCCCTGGGTTTGGAAGGGAAGCCTGGTGTCACCTGCCCTTCCAGAACAGTGGCCAAAGGTGTGGGCACAAAGGCCGCCAGAAGGCACAGCCAGTGTATCCAGCACCCACAAAGCCACAGCCGCAGCTGCCAATGCAGAGAGTGGCGTGAGGCAGCCCCTCGAGTACCCCAGCAGTAGCATTAAGAAAAAAAATTACTGTGACATCAAACTAGTTCTCATCTTCGTCACCAGCAGCACCGGGGAGTGGATAATGTGGATTCCGTTTTCCTGAAAATTGTGCCAACTGGTTAGAAAATCTTTTAACTCTTGATGCTGTCAGAGCAGCATCTCTTCATTAAAGTAACAACTCTAGGTCTGGAAATTTCCCCCTTAAACAGAACAAAGCGAGCGAATAACCAAATAATATAATTCTTGGCCTCCAGTCCCAAATTCTGGGACAGATGTGAAGTGTCTCCAAGGGTAGACGTGCAGCTTCCGTTGCCACAGGAGACCCCACGCCTTGGGAGTCTTCAGGGCCTGCCCACTCTTTCCTGGTAGTGTTTTTTTTTTTTTTTAAACTGAACACAGAGAGGATGGGAGCCTCCTGCGAAGCTGAGGGGGTGGAGTGCACACTGTGCACTGCTAGGGGGCTGCCTCCAGGAACTGTGTTCCGGCTGGCGGACGGACCCCTGCGTCTGGCTGGTGGTGGTGGGTCTTCCCTTGGATTGCTGGGGAGATGGAGAGGGGCTGATCTGAAACTGATGCCAACCGTTAGGAAATCGTCGTGTGAAACAAAGACCCCTGAAACCCCTTGCTCCCAGCTCTCTGCCTCATCGTCCCTCATAGCAGGAAGCATCCTCTGCGTTGGTGGGCTTCAGAAGCCCCGGTTGCGACTCTCATGAAACAGATCCTCATTTGGCTAAGATCAGTGTCATGACTTAAAAGGACATTTGAGGTGGGGGACAGAAGAGGCCCATGTCCACTCTCACAGAGCCTCCCTTCCTCTGGCTCTCTGTTAGGGGCATGTGGGGGCTTCGTACCTGGAGACTGTTGGACCTGTTGAGCCGGGTGCTTCAGTGGCGTGAGCTGGAAGCTGGGAGTCGGGGGCCGAGGGCCTGCTCATCTTGGCCTCCCAGTTTCTCATCTGTTAAACAGTAGGAGCGCTGGCATTCTGAGGCTTTCCCCCTCCCCACCCCCACCTCGCCAATATCTCCTGGGATAATGGTGAATTTCTCAGGGACAGAACTGAATGACAACACCTGATTTCATGGCATATCCTTTGTCATGACTTGCTATTTCACTGGAGGTCTTTACTAAGCAGATGCCTAGACCGTCATAGCTGCTTTCAGCTCTGTGAGTGAAGCAAGTGCTTTGCCAGGTATAAGGGAAGGACCGCAGGTTCCTCCAGACACGACGTAATTAAGGGGGGAGAAAGGTGGACTGAGCAGGCGGGCATTTTGTAGCCCACTTTGTTGGATTTTGCAGATACGGTATGCAATTATCATAGCTGGCTGGGGCCCTCGGGAGACCATTGCCACCACCAATCGTAATCGAGTTAATTCCAACTCATGGCGACCCCATGTGAGTCAGAGTAGAACTGTACTCCATGCAGTTTTGAACGGCTGATTTTTGGAGTAGATCACCAGATCTTTTTCCATCCATGGCTCCTTTAGGTGGATTCACACCACCCCATGACTCCTCAGGAGACCACACCCATTGCCTTCGAGTCCATCCTGACTCACAGCGACCCTATAGGACAGAGTAGAGCTGCCATGTAGGGTTTCCAAAGCTATAAATCTCTACGGAAGCAGACTGTCCCACCTTTCTCCCACTGAGTGGCTGGTGGGTTCAAACCACTGACCTTTTGGTTAGCAGCCAAGCACTTCACTGCACCACCCTGAGAACAGAGATCTGTCTTACTGCTTTTGTCTGTGTTGTCGGTGGTGGTGTCGTCTCTAGCAGCTAACCCAATGCTTGGCACATAGAAGGGGCTGACTAAATACCTAATAAGTGAATTCTCTGGCCTTTAGGAAGTTATTATTTGAAAGATCCATGGAATTATTCTCTTTGGAAAGTGAGATTTGGCATGGCTCCCAAGGGTTTGGCAAGAGAAGCTAGGGGCTTATCCTTCTTCTACAGGGCAGCTGGGCCAACCTGGTACAAGTCATTTTAATTAGAAGAGATGGGAGTGAAGTCTTCCAGTTCCACATGGATGTAATACCCGGTGCAAGCTTCATACTGTCCCCTTTACCGGGTAAAGTCGTGCATGCTGAATGTACAAAAGATGAAATAACAGTACACTGAGTACAGAAATCTAATCAGATAACATAGAGCTCCTCAGGCAGAGCTACCCTGTTTTTATTTCTGAATTTTAAGGCAGATAAAAATATACTGACTATGAAAACTGATTACTCAGAGTATCATATAACTCTTTGTCATCACAGTAACTACAGGAAAATTGGTGTTTAAATTCATATTCGAAATACCTCAGAAAGAAGTATGAAGTTTTAAGAAAATTCTAAAATTACTTGTATTGAGTCTTTGGCTGCAAGTAACAGAACATTCAACAAAAAGTGACTCTAAACAGTAAAAGCATTCTATTGGAGTTAGTGAGTCCAGAGGTAGGAGGTTCCAAAGTTGGTTCTGTCAGACAAGTAATGACCCAGCTGCTTTCCTTCTGCCATTCTCAGCATTTGGGCTTCGTGTCATAAGATGGCTGCCACAACTCCAGGCATCACGGCTTCAAGCATCCGTGTGTAAAAGCTGGAAGGGTCATTTATCTTCATGTGTCTGTTGGGGAGAGACTCTTGTTGAGAAGCCCTTAGAAGACATCCCCTTAACTCTTCTTGGCCAGGTGGTGTCACATGCCCATGTTTACAGCTACTACAGGGAGGGGGAAGGGACCTACGGAAGGTTTTGATCAGTCAGCGTTTACCCACTTCCCTGAGCATAGGCTGGGTCAACACCCAAACAAACCCCTCTTCTGCCAGCTGGGAAGGAGTTTGAGGGGACAGGAGGTAGGCAGCCAACAGTGTCTGCCACAATGTGATTTCAGAAATTTTATTTTCAACCCGGCTACTCACAGTGCTGATATTTGTGTCTCCTTGCAGCACATGTATATCACAGTGAAATGTCCCACATAGTGGTTACTTACGCTTTACTGACTGTAGCATATGTAAGACATACTTTTCAATCTTCAAAAAACACACCAAATGAGACACTTTTGTGAACCTTGGAAATTGCTTTTCTAAAAGATCCTTAATTCAGCAAATAGTTGAGTACCTGCTACGTGGGAGACACTGTGCTAAGCATTGAAAAGTAAATCCAAGTCAATTCATGGAAACCTGGTTTCTTTAACCCTCCGTAAATGCAGTAGCAGACGCCGAGGAGAACAATTAGCGTGATGCCGGCAACAATAGTTACATATGTCGGCAGTCAGCATCTGAAACTGTAGCAGTTTATGTGGTGAGGTTAGACCTCTGTCTTCATAGATCTTTGTCCTGGGATACATTCAGCAGAGACTTTGATTTTCTCTTTAATTCCTCTGTCAGATTAACTCCTTGTATTCTGCTGGGTGGTAATATCATGAAGATATAGTATCTTAATTTCTGGAAGTAAATGCTGTATTTACCTTAGCATAAGGGCTTTATAATTTAGAGTTACAGAGCCCTGGAAGCCAAGTAATTTAATCCACAGGGTCGATTTATTAGGTTCCTGCTTATGAATATAATTTATCCAGCCCCATCCAGGATTTCCAAGTCTTTTTCTTTCTTTCTACTTTTTAGATATATTTAACAATTAGATAAAGAAGGAAAAATAGCAGACTTTTTACTGCGTTGTAAGACCAAGAACTTTACGCATAGTACGTTTATCTAAGTGATTAGAAATGTCCCGGTTAAATCAGTGTCTTCGTTTTATAAGTAAACATATCGCGTAGTACATTTATCTAAGTGATTAGAAATGTCCCTGGGAAATCAGTGTCTTCGTTTTATAAGCAAACGTATCAAGGGACCCCAGCCCCTCTCACGGGTTCCAGATCAGTAAGTCCCACTGCCCGCTGGACCTCCCTCCAGAGTCCCTCAGCACACCTTAATCTCAACATGTTCAAAACCGAGCCTGTCCCTCCACCCACCCCTTGTCGGGCTCTCCTCTTATGTTTCTGCCTCCTTGAATGGTGCCAGCAGACCCTGCTAACAGGCCAGTCACTGGGCATTATTTATGACTTGTACTTGTTGTTAGCTGCCACTGAGGTGGCCCCTGACTCATGGCAACCCCATACACAATGGAGCAAAACACTGCCTGGTCCTGCGCCATCCGCATGATCGGTTGTGGATTGGACCATTGTCATCCATAGGATTTTCATTGGCTGATTTTCAGTAGATCTACAGGCCCTTCTTCCTAGTCAATCTTAGTCTGGAAGCTCTGCTGAAGCCTGTTCAGTATTATAACACATTGGGTGTGGTGGATGGTGGCTGCGCATGAGATGCATTGGCCAGGATTGAACTCGAGTCTCCTGCATGGGAGGCAAGGATTCTATCACTGAACCACCACTGCCCTCTATCGATGTGTTATGAGTTGAATTATGTCCCCCAAAAATATGGGTTGTAAATCCTAACCTCTATTCCTGTGGTTCTAATCCCATTTGGGAATGGGTTGTCTTTGTTATATTAATGAGGCAGGATTAGTATAGGGTGTATCTTGAGTCAATCTCTTTTGAGATATAAAAGAGAAAAAAACACAAGCTAGCAAGAGAGATGGGGGAAGATAGATGCCAAGACACATGGAGATCTCCAAGGAACCAGGAAGTAGAAGCTAAAGAGACAAGGACCTTCCTCCAGAGCTGGCAGAGAGAAAGCCTTCCCCTTGCCAGTCCTTTGAATTCAGACTTCTAGCCTCCTAAACTGTGAGAAAATAAATTTCTGTTTGTTAAAGCCATCCACTTGTGGTATTTCTGTTGTAGCAGCACTAGATAACTAAGAATTTGATACCCAACGAGCAGGGTGCTGCTCTCACAGATACCTAAATTGTGGAATTGGTTTTGGACTTGGGTAATGGGTAGAGGCTGGAAGAGTTTTAAGGTGCCTAATAGTAAAGGAAGGAAAAAGGAAGAAGTACAACCAGAATGCTCCTTAGAAGCAAGGATGGTGAGACTATGTCTCACATACTTTGGACATGTTATTAGGAGGGATCGGTCCCTGGAGAAGGACATCAAGCTTTTTAAAGCAGAGGGTCAGCGAAAAAGAGGAAGACCCTCAGCAAGATGGGTTGACACAGTGGCTGCAACAATGCACTTAAGCATAATGAGGATTGTGAGGATGGCGCAGGACCGGCCTGTGTTTCGTTGTCTTGTACTTGGGGTTGCCATGGGTCGGAATCGACTCGACAGCACTTAACAACAACAACAGTAAAGGAACCCTGGTAGCGCAATGGTTAAGTGCTACAGCAGCTAACCAAAAGGTCAACAGTTCGAATCCACCGGTCGCTCCTTGGAAACCCTATGAGGCAGTTCTACTCTGTCCTGTAGGGTCCCTGTGAGTCAGAATCAACTCAACGGCAATGGGTTTGGTTTGGTATGGTTAATAGTAAAAGCCTAGATTGCCTTCAAGAGACTGTTGGTAGAATTATGGACGTCAAAGGCAATTCTGGTGAGGGCTCGGAAGGGAGTGAGGAGAGCTATAGAGAAAGTCTCTGTCATCTTGGAGAACACATATGGCACCAACAACAGAATGTTGCTAGACCTGTGGACGTTAAATGTGCTTCTGGTGAGGCTTTAAAAGGAAATGATGAACATGGGATTGGACAATGGAGGAAGGGTGATGCTTTTATGCAGTGGCGAAGAACTGGTCTGAATTATATTCCAATGTTTGGTGGAAGGTAGACCTCGTAAGTGATGAACTTGGATATCTGGCTGATGAGATTTCTAAGCAAGATCTTAAAGGGGCCGCATGGTTTCTCCTTGAAGCTTATAGTAAAATGCGAGAAGAAAGAGATGGACTTAAAAATAAACTGTGAAAAATGAAAACAGAACTTAAAGATTTGGAAAATTCTGTTGTACAAACTAAGGACACGTGTCCTAGAATGTTCACCAAAGAACTTGGCTACACAGTCTTTTGTTAAAGAGATTAAGCCCGTGACTGATGGAGCTAACCAACTACCACAGCAGAAAACTCATCATCTTAGACTGAACGGGACATAGAAAGAACAAAAGGAAAGACCACTGTCTACCTCTTGGAATTCTACAAGCAGGAAACAGGCCAAAGGAGAAAAGAAAAGGACCAACCCTGGATCAGCTCAGAGATCAGCAGAACTGTTGGAAGGAGCATGGGAAGCAGGCTGTTCTTGGTTTCAAAGGGTAGGACCAGAGTCTTCTGGATCTCAAAGGGTGGGGCCACAGCCTCCTAGGTTTCAAACTCAGTTTCAACTCAGTTCCAGAGTGTGGGGCTGCCTTTAAGGTATACCAGGGGGAGGGGGCCATCACCCAAAGCTGAGGGGTGGGCTGCCATGCCCAAGGGGCAGAAGAATGGGGCCTGTGGGGCCAAGAGGATAGGATAGCCGCTCAGGTGGACTAGGAGAATGGTGTGCCTAAAGCTGAAGGAGCAGAGTTGTCATCCCAGAGGGCCTAGAAGGTGGAGCTGAAGCCCAGGACGGAAGGGCCTCCACCCAGAATCCAGAGGGCATGGCCAACACCCAGAGTCTGTAGGGCAGAGCCATTGCTGGGATGGTCTCAGAGAAGAGAGGATTATTTTCAAGACTTGAAAGCTAATGTAATTTGTTCTGCTGGGTTTTGGACTTCTTTGGTGCCTATTATCCCTTCTTTCCCTCCAGTTTCTCCCATTTATAATGGAAATGTCTACCTTGTGCCTGTTCCACCATTGTACTTTGGAAACAGATAACTTGTAGTCTAGATTTCACAGGTTCCCAGATGAAGAGGAATTTTGCCCCAGGATGGAATGTGTTAAAGTCTCACCCACGTTTGATTTAGATGATTCCGAGGATGAGATTTTGAACTTGGAGTTGATTTAAGACCTTTAGGATGATGTGATGGGGTCAATGTTTTGCATGTGGCAAGGACATGAACTTGAGGGGGCCAAAGGGTGGAATGTTATGGATTGAATTACGTCCCCCAAAAATTTGTGTTGTAAAACCTAACCTCTATGCCTGTGGTTATAATTCCATTTGGGAATGGGTTGTCTTTGTTAGGTTAATGAGGCAGGATTACTGTAGGCTATGTCTTGAGTCAATCTCTTTTGAGATATAAAAGAGAAAAAAAATTCAAACTAGCAAGAGAGATGGAGTAAGATAGATGCCAGGACACATGGAGATCTCCAAGGAACCAAGCAGAAGCTGAAGAGACAAGGACCTTCTTCCAGAGCCGACACAGAGAGATAGTCTTCCCCTGGAGCTGTCGCTCTGAATTCGGATTTCTAACCTCCTAAAATGTGTGAGGGAGCCCTAGTGGCGCAGTGATTAAGAGCGCGACTGCTAACCAGAAGATTGGCAGTTTGAATCCACCAGCTACTCCTCGGAAACCCTATGGAACAGTTCTACTCTGTCCTATTGGGTCGCCAGGAGTCAAAATTGACTTGATGGCAACAGGTTGGTTGGTTTGTTAAACTGTATGAGAACAAATTTCTGTTTGTTAAAGCCATCCACTAGCGGTATTTCTGTTATAGCAGCACTAGATAACTAAGACGCCGTGACTTAGCTCCTGCCTGTCTCCAGGGCCAGTCTTCTGCCTCAAGACTGTCCCCTGGATCAGGGGCACTTCACTCAATCCCCTCCACTATCGCCCTCCTGGTAACTGCTGCAGCTGCTTTCTGGGGTGTGCATCTGCCTCCCATCTCACCCCACTTGTCCCTACTTGCCAGTCCATGGTTCTCCTAAATGAAAACCCGAGCAGCTTGCTTGAAGTGTCCTGAGGCCTCCCTCCTGCTGGGATTGACTCCCGCCTCTGTGGCTCAGCAGACAAGATCCTTTGGGGTCTGCACTCTTTCCCACCATGCTTGGCGCCAGCAGGCCCCCTACACCTCCTTGCCCCTCCGTGCTCCCCTCTCCCTGGGCCTGGAGCCCCTTCTTCTGTGCACTGAAGTGTCTCTGTCTTCTCCACAGTAACGCCCCGGGCCCTCGTGTGTGAAGAGACCATCCCTTTCCCCACAGCGGGGAGTCCAGAATGAGCTTTTCCCTGTGGAGGCGCTAGATGTGTGCTGATTCATCTGTACCCCGGTCCCTTTTGAGACTTGGGATGTGTTCATTCCAAGTAAAACTGCTTGGGCAAGTAGGCCTGGAACTGTGAAAGTCAAATAAGGAATTTTTCCCTTTTGAATCATAAAGTTGATGAGCCGAGTATGAAATAATTGACTTTTCCTTCAAAATGAGATTTTACAAGTGTCTTAGTCATCTAGTGCTGCTATAACAGAAAATACCACAAGTGGATGGCTTTAACAAAGAGAAATTTAATTCCTCACGGTAAAGTAGGCTAAAAGTCCAAATTCAGGGTGTCAGCTACAGGGGAAGGCTTTCTCTCTCTGTTGGCTCTGGGGGAAGGTCCTTCTCATCAATCTTCCCCTGGTCGAGAAGCTTCTCAGGCACAGGGACCCTGGGTCCAAAGGACGCGCTTTGCTCCCAGCACTGCTTTCTTGGTGGTATGAGGTCCCTCTCTCTCTGCTTGCTTCTGTTTCCTTTTATCTCTTGTAAGATAAAAGGTGGTGCAGGCCACACCCCAGGGAAAATCCCTTTACATTGGATCAGGATGTGACCTTAGTGAGGGTGTTACAATCCCACCCTAATCCTCTTTAACATAAAATTACAGTCACAAAATGGAGTACTACCAGGCAATACTGAGAATCATGGCCCAGCCAAATTGATGCACACATTTTTGGGGGGACATGATTCAGTCCATGACAACAAGTATTCCTATTCTGTGACTGAATAGACTTGAGTTTTAGTATCAGAGCGTTTAAGGCTGTGGAAAACATCCTGTTGGGATATTCAGACATAATTGGGACTTTTACGTCAACTCATACACCTCAGTTATTAACACATCACGTTCTAGATTTTGTTGCTTTTCAAATAAGTATGTGTGGGGATCGCATGTATTTGTGTGACTGGATTTTGAATGCATTTTGGAATTTCTTTCTTCTTTTGTTGGAAAAAAAACTTACACGTACGGCTCTTACCCAAGAGGTTAAGACAGTGGTGGTGTGGCTTCTTCTGGGCGGGAGAGCTTTGCTGAGACGCGTGTGGGCCTAGCTTTCTTCGTATATTCCGAGGCGGAGCATTTGCCCTTAATGAGAATGTGAAAGCCTCGACTTAGTGTTTCAGAACGATCTTCATCTAAAATCACTTTCTTCTGTTTGTTACAACTCCATGTGATTTCAGGGCTCCTGTATCAGGAATACCGAGATAAATCAACTCTGCAGGAGATTGAAACCAGGAGGCAGCAGGATGCAGAAATACATGACGGCTCCCCGGCCAACGAGGAGGCTCCCGAGGAGGAGGGGGAGGAGGAGGAGGAGGAGGAGGAGGAGGAGGAAGAGCTGGCCAGCCCGCCCGAGAGGAAGGCTCTGCCCCAGATCTGCCTGCTCAGTAACCCCCACTCAAGGTTTAACCTCTGGCAGGACCTGCCGGAGATTCGGAGCAGCGGGGTGCTGGAGATCCTGCAGCCCGAGGAGGTCAAGCTGCAGGAGGTACGGTCTGCAAGGGGTGGGGGCGTCGTGGGGGTGTCGGTCAGGATGGCCAGGCTTTGCCTTAGCAAGTATGAGGTGAGGCTCCCTCTGTAGGGTGAGGTTTGCTGAGTTACTGGGACTCTCACCGGCTCCTTTAGCACAGGGGTGTCTTGTCCATGCAGAATGTGCAGGAAAATTCACTTTATCCCATAAAAACCCCAAACCCACTGCTGTCGAGTCGATTTTGACTCATAGCGGCCCTCTAGGACAGAGTACAAATGTCCCATAGGATTTCCAAGGCTGTAATCTTTACAGAAGCAGACTGCCACATCTTTCTCTTGCGGAGCAGCTGGTGGGTTCAAACCTTGACCTTTCGGTTAGCAGCTGAGAGCTTAACCACTGCACTACCAGGGCTCCTTACATTATTCCATAGAGTACCCTGTTACCTGCTAGGGTAGCTGAACCCCAGTAGTGAGTGTTGGCCACATTGCTGTTTCATTAGATTACCTTTTTAAACCCTTCATAATTACTGTTGGGATTTCCATCGCTTGGCTTAGGTGATGGTGAGCTCGCTGTGACTGTGAACTCACTCCCATCATCTGTGGTTTACAAAAGTCTACCATACTTCTTTTCACTCATGGTCTTATCCTTCACTTTATTTTGGAGTCACTTGAGCTTTGGATGTGTGGAGTATCTGAAAGAAATCCCCCGGCATGCCTCTCCCCCTTCTGGAAATGGTGTGGAAATCTGGGGCTTGTCCTCTCTCTTGCCCCTTCATTTGACTGCCCAGGGAAATGTTGACTGACCATCATTCAAGCTGCCACCAAGTCACGGAGTTGCCTGATGGTTTGTTGCTTCCTGGCAGGGAATGACAATCAATTTAAAAAGTAACAGTAACAGAAGAGAGTTAAGTAACAATGTAAGTGTTTCTTTTAGTTGAACGAAGATCATTTCCGTGTAGAGAGAAATTTTGTGGTACAAGAACAACCTCAGTAGTAAGGGGAGAGAATGTTCAAGAGCATTCATGATATGCAAGTGTGTGTTGATTGTGAATTTTTAAAAGAGGGTACAGAGAAAAAAAAAAAGAAGAGATGTGTTTTTTTAAGCACTCAGTCAGTCCAAATAGCATCATCTATCCACTGTCACCCTCACCCTCTTACCCTCACCCCTACTCACAGCCCGGTTCCCACAACTACTCACATGCTGCTTCAAACACATGCTTTTCCTTGTTCCTAATTAGTGGAGACTCCAAATGTCCTGCCTGCTTTAACACCCCTTATTCCTGCACTAAGGATCCCTGGTGGCACAGTGCATAAAGTGCTTGGCTGCAAACCGAAATATCAGCAATTCAAACCCACCAGCCACTCTGTAGTAGAAGTGTGTACCAGTCTGCTTCTGTAAAGATTACAGCCTTGGAAACTGTGGGACAGTTCTACTCTGTTTTATGGGGTCCCTATGAGTTGGAATCGACTCGACGGCAGTGGGTTTGGTTTTGTTTGGATTTTGGTACTGCTGCCCTAGATTCTGTAGAAACATTTGCTCTTATTTATTTCGATGGCAAAGCAATCAGCTCTGCACACGGTTAATGACAAAGACAGACTGGTTCCTGACCAGGGTCATTCAACTCGGACACGAGTTTTACCACAGATTTGTTACTGTGGTTGTTGTTGTTAGGTGCCATTGAGTTGCCTTCGACTCATGGTAACCGCATGTACAACAGAACGAAATGTTGCCCAGTCCTGCACCATCCCCATGATGGTTGGCATATTTGAGTTCATCAGAAAATATTCAGCTGTGATCTAAAGTAGATAGCCAGACCTTTCTTCCTAATCTGTCTTAGTCTGGAAGCTCTGTTGAAACCTGTCCACCATGGGTGACCCAGCTGGCAATAGCTTCCAGCATCATAGCAACATGCAAGCCACTGCAGTATGACAAATGGGTGGTGGATTTGCTACTAGAGAAGCTTGATGCAACTGGGTTTTTAAAGGGTCACCTCAGGCTCACATGTGTGCTGCCCAGTAGAATCAGAAAACTTTGTTTAAACTTTTGACATTCCTTGTAACTTGTGATCAGTGATTTGTAAATGGCTACATCAAGAGTTTTTTATGAAACTTCCGATATAACTAATGTCTAGCTATCAGTACCTTCTCCCAGCATCACACTAAAATACTCATGAGAAGACATAAAGAAGCCACTCACATCCCCACCAGAAATGAAGATGCACCGTCCGGAGTATCTCCACTGAGGCTGATGGTGCTAGACTGAGAAGAGCTCACCAGGCTCACCACTGAAAGCAACCATGTGGAAGGTGCTGGAAGTCGTGGGGAAATCCCCCTGCAATTGACCACCCTACTTACCTCCAAGACCTAGGGATGCCACCAGTCACAGACAAGACCATCATTTCCTACCTTTGACTTTCACATAAAAAGAATCATGGAATACTATTTTGGGGGCTTTTTTCACTCAATATCACCAACATGGGACCTGTTTTTTTTAAGTCCTCGGAACAAGGAAAAGAGACCAGTATCTTGGAAGACACAGAAGAAGAGCGTACCAGGGAAGACAATATGCTGTAGGATCCAGAAGAAAGTTTCAGAAAGCTGTTTGTCCTCTCATCTATGAGGATGAACTATGAGCAAGGAGCCCTGGTGGCACAACAGTTAAGTGCTTGGCTGCTAACTGAAACGTCGGCAGTTCAAACCCACCCAGAGGCTCCATGGGAGAAAGACCTGGTGATCTGCTCCCATAAAGATTACAGCCAAGAAAACCCTATGGGGCATTTCTACTCTGTCACAGGGGGTCACTATGAGTCAGAAATCAACTCAATGGCACCTAATAACAAACTGTGAGCAGGAGCAAAAAAGCCGTAAGGACACAACAGCATGAGATGAAAAGAAAATTGAATAAAGGGTAAACGGGGTGTAGGAGACATGGAAGCGTTGCAGAGAAAGAGTACAGATAAGGAGGACGAAGGAACAGATCCAACTTACAAATAATTGGTGCTGCTTTTTTTTTAGATTAAAACTTCTTTTAAATTGTACTTTAGATGAAGGCTTAGAGAACAAGTAGTTTCTCATTAGACAGTTAGTACACATACTGTTTTATGACCTTGGTTAACAACCCCACGACATATCAACACTCTCCCCTCTCGACTTTGGGTTCCCTATTACCAGCTTTCCTGTCCCCCCCCCCGCCTTCTAGTCCTTGTCCCTGGGCCGTTGTGCCCCATTAGTCTCATTTTGTTTTAAGGGGCTGTCTAATCTTTGGCTGAAGGGTGAACCTTGGGAATGACTTCATTACTGAGCTAAAAGGGTGTCCGGGGGCCATACTCTCAGGGTTTCTTCAGTCTGTGTCAGGCCAGTAAGTCTGGCTTCTTTTTGTGAGTTAGAATTTTGTTCTACATTTTTCTCCAGCTCTGTCCAGGACCCTCTATTGTGATCCCTATCAGAGCAGTCAGTGGTGGTAGCCGGGCACCATCTAGTTGTACTGGACTCAGTCTGGTGGAGGCCATGGTAGTTGTGGTCCATTAGTCCTTTGGACTAATCTTTCCCTTGTGTCTTGTTTTCTTCATTCTCCCTTGCTCCCAAGGGGTTGAGAATTTGGTGCTGTTTTTAAGAATAGACTTGAAGTAAGGCAACAGAGACAAAGGAGGAAAACATCCCTGGGCTGAAGAAAGCTTTTGTGTACATAGTGAAAAGCCTGGCAAAACAGAAACCATCCAAAATATCAGATTAATTCAAGCAAAGACCAGGAAGTAAGGAGGAGGGGAGAGAAGGGGGCAAATACCTGTTTTTTACATTGATAATCAGAGAAGTAACAGTTTTAAATACTTGGGAAAACTTAAAGATTAACCCTAATAGAACTTAAAACATGCTATAAACTGTTCCAAAATAGAAATGAAGCTAAAAGCAGAGAAAGAAGGGCTCATCTGATAAAAGGTAGAAAAGCAAGCAGTAAGGAAGCACAAAAAACAAATAGCATAAAATAAAATGGCAGAGTTAATAAAAAAAAATTTGTGTTATAACAATAAATGTAAATTGCTTAAATTCCTCTCTTAAAAGACAAACTCTCCAATTGAGTAGAAAACTAAACCCACTGTATTATCAGGCAGACTAGAACTCAGGGTAAGAAAAATTATCCCAGGAAACAAAAAGTTATTTTGTATTGTTAAAAGTATCCTTTATGTTGATAAAGGTATCACTTTATTTTTAAACATTTTAAAATTAAACGGGTAACTCGTGAATACATTCTCATTGTGGAAAAAAAATGTAAATACTCCAAGCGTGTTCAGCATTTTCCTTGCAGCTCACATCCTCCGATTTGTGCACTCCGTTATTGATCTTGATAAATGCACAGCCATGAAGCCTCATCCGATTTAGAGTTCAGACGCTTATGAAAACCATAAGTGCAGAATCCTTACAGATTTTTGCCATCTTTTCCCCAGTATCTGACGCTTGTTTCAGCTTCACTTCATTCAACAGCAGTTTGGTTTTGATTTTTAGCAAGTTGCCTTTACTAGACTCCTCAGCTTCATTTCCACAAAAACAACTCCCTTTGTGCTGAGAATTTGTTGGTCTTATAATTAAATCATATCATTACATAACAAGTACAACTGGCATGAATACATTTAAGGACAAACACCAGTACAAGGGTACAGCTCAACAGGTAGGAATAGGAGTGTGCAGGCCACTGCAGAGTGCTCGTCTGCTGAGTGCTTAGTGCGCCTGCACAGGTGTTATAGGGAAGCAGAGAGCTCTGTTGAACTCTGAAAGTCGGTTACGTGGAGGTTGGCTATGAGAATGTCTGTGCATACATCTTTCTGCTCAGGTGAGAACACAGCTGTTGGATAGATGTCTACAAGTGGAGCTGCTGGTCACAAGTGAAAAATCAAAAACCAAACACATTGCCATCAAGTCAATTCCAACTAATGGCAACCCTATCGGACTGGGTAGAACTGCCCCATAGGGTTTCCAAGGAGCAGCGGGTGGATTCAAACTGCTGACTTTTTGGTTACCAGCCAA